CTGGATCAATGAATAGATGCAGCACGGATCAGAACCAGAGACCAGAGGAGCCAGTTGGTGGAGATACATTCATCTGATGGTGGAACATCTTTCTACATGATGGAGGAACATCTTTCTACATGATGGTGGAACATCTTTCTACATCTGATGGTGGAACATCTTTCTACGGCTGATGAGCAGAGAGAAACAGTCTGGAGACATGGAGATGGTTCAACATCTGCAGGACGAGGAGACCACATTAGCTTCAGGGTTTCACATCTGGAAACATGTTGGACATGATGGCTGCAGGTTTTTATATTTTAGTAAGATAAAGAAGCGTTCCTTCTCTCTGGTCTCCATGGTTCTGAGTCCTGCTGACAGAAGATGTCTCTGAGTTCTGTCTCCTCCTTCATGTTCTGGTTCCTCAGAGCTGCAGGACTTTATGCTGCAGAGAAACATGAACCTCAGAGAAGAAACATGTCTCCAAGGAGGAACGTCGTGGTTCTACTGCGATACGATATCATTTATTTGCACATTTAAAATATACATTACATAAAGTAATAAGAAAACTAGTGAGAGTGCAGGAAGATGCGAAAAGGCCCCAACAGGCTTAGAACAAGCCTCCACCTGTAACAAAACAAAAAAAGAAAAATATAACTTAGATCTTTAAATAATAACAGTAATAATGATGAAATATGTGGAGCAATATAACACTAAGCATCTGAAATGTTAAAAACTGCGACTACAAGACAGACAGCTTCATCCTGTTTGTCTGAGCTGCAGTGAAACAGACTGAACTTGTTGTTTCATGCTCTAGCTGTGACTCACTGAATCAACGAGTGTTCACGAAGAATCAGACGTCAGATCGGAGGACGGGACACCGAGCTGAGCCGAGCTGGAGCTGATCCTGCTGAAGTCCATGTGCTGCTCGGAGGAGTTTACGTCTCTGCAGGAATAACCAGGTCAGATTACTGTCTGAGGACCTGAGTGAAACCACTTAGCCCCCAACGCTGTGATTGGCTGGCAGTGGCCATTTCCTCCTAATGGACCCGCAACAGCAGTTAGCATTAGCCTGCGCACCCCACCCTGTCCTCTTCTGGGAGCCAAACCCATTAGTCCGAGGTTCCCCCACCACACTCACTGATCAATACGCTGGGAGAGGCTGACTTCCTTCACACACTTTATCAATATTTGATGTGAGCTCAGCTTCGTCCTCCAACAACCACAAACCAGAAACATAAAGTCCACAGACGTCAGCTCAGGTTTCACACCTTCACTGCAAGCACCTGCAAACCCCTTTAAGCATCTTCAACCACCTTCAGACACCTTCAGACACCTTCAACCACCTTCAACCACCTTCAGACACCTTCAACCANCCCCCCATGACCCTGGTGAGAATAGTTGTAATGAAACACCAGAGCGTCCTGATGAGAGCCTTCACCAGGCTGGACGCTCGTGGCCACTCAGTGTGACGTGGACAGCTCATCCTCCCTGTCTTCTCTCAGACGTCTGGAACCTCGTCGCTCCTCCTCAGCATCAGGCCTGACGGCTGTGGTCGCCGGTGTCACCATGTTCACTCTCATTGTCCTCCACAAGCGCAACCAGCTGCCTGCGATCCAAAGCTCTGGTTCTGATGAAGGGAGGTGTTTTAGCTGCAGCATCAACAGCATGGTTCATGTTCAACACTTCCTGATGTACACTACGACGCAAAACTACCAGTTTCTGTCACGTCATCCTGCATTCTGTTCAACAGTCCGCCATGTTTCCTGTTAGATCAGGACCAGTCGCTGTTACGGCCCGTCCCATTCTGGTCCAAACATGCACGTACATTGCACAGTGTCCTTGTCCACATTGTTGACATTAACCCTAACCCTGGCAGCAGGCAGTTCTGCAGAGTCCAACAAGCACTCTCTAATGAACCTTTCTAATTTGGGGGAAGTGACATCACTTGTCTTGACAGCTGCATCTCTGCATGTGTGTGTAGGACGTCCTGTTAGCTCTGCAGCGTAGCAACGCGTCCCACTCTCTGGCCCGCTCTCCATCACACACGTTGTCGTACTTCCTGTTTGGTCACGTCGCAGCGATTCAAACTGGACAAAGGGTTGGATGCTTTAAAATAAAACAGCAGAACTTTCTCAGTTTTGGACCCATGTTCTGTGTCTGTCTGCTTGGTTCTGGTGAAGCCCGTTGGTGACGGTGACAGCGCCCCCTGTGCTACAACTTTGTTATGAAGCTTTTATCAAACACAGAGTCCAAAGTCAGGCCAGCTTTCATTACTGAGGTTCTGTTTGACCCCACACCAGGTTCTAAGGTGTCATCTGATCTCTGTCCAACACCAAGCAGCCTGTTTAAAACAGAACCAGAACAACTGAGAAATTAGACCATTTGCCACTTTAAAGTGTTTGATTTTCAAAGTCAACAGAAGCTGAAATAAATGTAAAACTGGAACTATTGGGATCCACTCCACGGTCCCACCGGTGGTTCTGTGCGGCAGGATGGTGACCATGAACTGGGTTTCTGTTCCACTCCTGTCTGTGAAGCTGTTTAAAAGTGAAATATGACATTTAAGGAATAACAACGAGATCACAGTGAACAGAAGAAATGAAAGATTTTCCTTTTTTAAACGTGTCTTCATCTGTTTTGGTTGTTTCCCGTCGGGTTCTGGTTCTCTGCCTTGTTGTTCTGTGCTGAGTACAGAATCTGTGTTCTGTTTTTAACTTACATGTTTCTGCTCATTTCTCTTGTTGTGTTTCTGTTCATGTAAAAAGGCTGTAGCGGGTTTCATGTATTGTGTGCTGAATGCTCGTCAGTGAGCGCCTCCACCTCCCACAAGAACAGCTCCTCAGCTGTGGCATCACGGTGAAGAACCCTTAGTGGTTCCAGTTAGAACCGTGTTGTTGTGAGTGTGGCTCCTCCCGCCGGGTTCCTCCCCTCGCTGCTGACAGATCAGCATCAGCAGCCGGACTGAGCGGAGGTGAGTCTCTATTCTGATCACTGATTGCTTATCGATAGAACACATTGATCCCAGATGAAGGTGGATCAGAGCCTGACAGGAAGCTGCTGCTAATTTTATTATTGCTTCACTCATTTTATCCCAATACAGTCGGAAAAACGTCCAAGTGGATTCAAAATCTGTCCTGAACGACAGAAATCTGTCCAGACTAATTCAGAATTTATCTAAAAAGACTCGAGATGAAATTTGTCTGGAATGATTTTTAAAATGACAAAAAAAGGGAAAAAAGTTCAGAAACTACAAAAATAAAAAATGACTCAGAACTGGTGTGAAATGACCAGAAACGTCCTCAGCAGACGCTTCGCACATGTCAGTGTGACACATCAACCAGGTTCTGTGTTCTGCTCCGGGTCCGGTTCTCCTCTGATGTTCACTGTGTGTTCTTAAAGGGCATTTGAAGATCTGGAGAAAATATTTAGTCATTTATGATCATGGTCACATTTTAGTGCGACGCTCGCCCACAACTTACACTAAAGTCCGACTCAGTCACTGAAAGAGGAAAACCAGAACCAGAGATTTTCTAAAACTTAAAGTCCAGATGAAGTCGGAACCAAAAATCAGAAAGCAGGTTTGAAAGCATTTTAGCTTTAATAAAACTCCCAAAATATCGACCAAAAGCTGTAAAACCTGAAAGAATTCACAGAGACTTTCTGATGGTCCACAAACCTTCCTCTCCCTGGTTCTGACCCTGTAGAACCAGAACCTTCCTCTCCC